CAAACCAGCTGTGCCCTGGGGTGGGTGGAAAGACAGATGTGGAAGGTGGTGCAGGAACAGGGACAGGAGTCACCCCAGTGAGCTGTCAGAGCTACGGCCGCCCTTCGGTTACACCAGAAAACCTCGTGGGGAGAATTTTGCAATACGCACCCTTGGCAGCACACCCAGGGCTCCGGAGATCCCAATTCCACCCACCCCTTTAACACCTGAAATGGGTTTTTCTGATGTCATTCCTCAGCCTACATTTCCTTTGCGCCATCCCACTGAGCGAACACAGGGGCATAACCACATGAATTTTACAGCTGTAGGACATCATTGTTAACAGGGGGAAAAAAAAAATAAATCTTCAAACCTTCTGCTTCAAAGCCACAAACCCTCGGTCCTCATCATCTTTTAAATAGAGCTCGTAATTAACTTAGCAATGCTACGGCTCATGTGCTCTCTGCAGCCACTCACAGTGTATCTGTCAAACTTAATAACAGGGAGCTGATGGACTACAAGGCATTGCAATTTATAATCTAACTCTAAACAATAATATTTTCTCTAGCTAAGTGGAAATTTTTTAGCAAAACTGCAAGACTGCAGCAGTTAACTGCATAACGTTAATTGGCTAACTGAAATAGAAACTCATTAACTGATTAACTGAGAGCTAAGATGGAGTAATGTCAGCACAGTCACAAGGAACATTTAAGACAAGAATTGCAATAAGGTAGATTTGCAATTCCTGAATGTATTTTGATTAACAGATTCAAACAAATAAGGTTATTACTATGTTAATGACTGGTTGCTGTAAAATATTGAATATGATTAAATTCAAGTGTTTGAGAGAAAAACATACCTCTTAAGACAATTACAAAGGAGAAAAAGAGTAACTAATTATTTGGTATGCTGTTGTCTGTTAAAAATGTAACAATCATAGCAACAATAACAAAAATATAGAATTATAATAACAACAGGAAGAGTAATAGCAATAAAAGATCTGTCTCAGGATTTAGGAGCACAAATTTTCCAATCTCAAATGGGGAAATCTACTGCATGGCAAAAGCAAGACTGACTATTTTTCCAAAGTTATGGCCATAGTGAGAGTCTTGAGCAACGTCTAAGTATCCATTTACGAACTCAGCTGCTGTGTAGGTGTGCTGGAGATGGGCAATCTACTGACATCACGTTGATGTCACATTCCAAATCTGTTGGTGATACCAAAGTATTAAAAAAAAACCTACTGGAAAGCCACGGATACTACCGGGGGCAGGTGTTACTAAGAGTCCTGTGCCTTCCTTTATGGTGTCTCCTGCAGCCCAGCTTGTCCCTGTATCGAGCAGCGTGGCTGTGCCTCTCCCCACCATGGTCCCCGCACCCCTGTCTGGGGCTGCCTGCTCCCATGCCTCCCAAGGAGGCTCCTGAGAGGCACTGGTCATGGCCAACCAAAGCAGGGATGGGGGCACACCAGGGACCTGCCCTCTGCATCATCTTGCTCCCTGGTCTCACCGGAACTGGAGTCATTCCAGGCCCCTACTCCAGCACAGCTCAGAGATACAGAATGAGATCATCCATGAGGTAGGGCTTGGTGAGCACAAAAAGTCCTCTTCTCCTTCCTCAAGTCCCCTAGGCTCCCCAAATCCTTATCCAAGAGCTTAAATAGTACTATCATACTTCTTGATAGTGTGATAGAGCTTTTTCTGGTAACAGCAGCATAAGAAATTCAGATAGTATCATCTATTTTTAGAGCTGCTTATACTCAAGAGCAGCTTCAGGAGTCTGAGTGCAAGCTTTATTGCATACATGGTCAAAGCATCCCCTCTAAAAGCCTGCTACTGAGTAAACTTGGTAACTTTTTGTTTTTTTTTTTTTTTTTTTTTTTTGGCAGGGACTAGTCCAGGATGCTTAGTCATTTTAACGTATCAAAATAGACAAGTGGCAATGGTGAGGGCCATCACTGCTAATCTCTTCTTCACCCAGACTTTACCAAAATCTCCTGGAAATTCAAAACCATTTCCCTGCTTAATGAACTTGCCTCCATAAAGTTCAACCCTAAGGGTTATTTTTAGAGTATTACTCATGAGCACTGAACAACTAGCAAGGCATTAAAGACAAACAAAAAATACCAACCCAAAACTAAACAAAACAAACTGCAATTAAAAGCCCATAAAACGTGTCTAGTTACAAAACAAAGAATTAAAAGGGTGGTATAATATTAGATGCTAAAATTGTTAGTTTGCAGTCTGGACTATTTCAAAAATCCTTTCTTGTGCACTTATATTGGGCTTTCTTCTACCGTGTGCTTTGCAGAGAAACACAAGTCACAACGTTGGAAAAAAGGGTTAAGGGCAAGGTGCACAACCATTTCTCCTAAAGCATCACAGATCTACCACGGTCAAGCTCAGGAGTTAGCCGTTCATCACCCCACAACCACGCAGCTACATCTCTACTCTTTAAAACATTTACATCTAACAGTCACGACAATCTTGCTGTATATGTTTTTTGGATGGCTAACCAAGGGAGAAACTACAGCTGTAAAAAGAATGAGACTTAGAATGAATTTGAGACGTCTTCACAGAAATCTCCTCGGTAACCCAATGTCAGACAAATGTTTGCAATGCATTGTTCACTGCCTTTTTTGGTATTT